CTCTCTTCCATGAAGTGTGTGTTGGCGATTTTCATTGATTATTTAGTTGCGTCTATCGCTTGGATTAACGATCTACCGGATCTACCGCTGGATTCATGGAAAATACTCTAATGAAATCGCTTGACTTTCGTTTTGGGGGAGCGTTTTGGGATCGTTGATCGGTGGATTTGAATTTGAATGGTGGCTGGCGTACAACTTTTACTCATGGCCCCACCGTTATTTTTAATTTTTAGAACATACACAAATGTATATGTATGTACTACACACACACACAAATAGACTTGCAACGATCGTATTCTATTTGTAATCCAAAATAATTGTATGTATCCGTACTACGAGTATGTGGTTCGCTTTACGATTTCTTGTTGCCCACTCTCTTTGGGACTTATTTGCGTTATACTTTGGTATAATTCTGTTCGAAATTGTTGTGTTCATTTTTATTGTGCTGCGCTCTCGTCGGGTAGAGTACAGTCAGCCCCACCAGATCTGGAGCGCCCATGTAAATGGAAATATCATTTAGTAAATTACATGTTCGTATTCCGAAAGAATATCAATCCCAAAAAATGATTACCAATCGCTCTCCCTCGCCCTCTCCCTCTCTGTTTTCTGAGGTCTGAGCGTAGTTACGATAATCTCTGTACCCCCCCAAACAATGTTAGGCGGAGGTTATCTCTAGCCAAATGAGCTATCACTGCAGTTTGGTTGGTTAGCTCGACTAAACTGCTAATCGAGGCTAGTAAGAGGCAAGCTACGCTCTTCGAGATCTCTTAAAAATACAAATTTGAGATTATGAATTAATATACAAATTCGTAATCTTCATAGAAAAATGTGGCTCCCATGCTTATCGTTTTTTAAATATGAGGAACTATTTTTTAAACTCCTTCCAAATATACATATTTGCATTTTCATTTTAAAGAAGCAACATTTTGAGACTTTAAATATTATTTAGTAATTTAATTGTAGTTCTAATTCGAATCTTTGATGGTCCTTTCATCGAATTTTCACTCGTAATTTATATTCGTAAATTTCTTCAGTAATATGCATACATTTATTTTCTTTCCCTCATTGCCTGTTATTTGACAGTGCCAAGTTTCTTTTACAGCTGCGGCTGTATCTGGTTTTTTGTTTGGTTTTATTCTGTATCTGTTTCTGTATCTGTATCTGGGGCCATTGTGCAGAGTGCAGAGTATCTTAGTATCTTTGCGTTTTATAGCTATTGGCTTTTTGGTCGCTTCTTGTTATATTCCCATGCTGTGAAATGTCGGCCGCTTTCCGTTTTGAAACGAAAATGAGTACAAGAGTTATTTTTAGAACTAAAATTTTCTTGAATTTTTCACTCGTTAACATTGCCTTACGCTTTGCTCCGTTCTGTAGTTGCCACCGCCGTTCCCCGATTCCCCGATCCACGATCCACGATCCGCATCGTCTTCGCCTTTGCCTCCGTCACGATCGTGGGCTGTATGGCTGTAGTATGTCTGTATCTGCATCTGTACATCAATATCTGTATGTCTGCATCTGTAGATGTATCTGTAGCTGTTGCTATTGCTGTTGCTGTATCTGGGTCTGATGTTTTCAACGGGGACTGTAAGATCTTTCCCCGCCACATTGGCAACTTAAGTAACATTAGTTTCGATAGTTTCACACAGACACAAACATGTGTAAGGGGGACCGACGGTCGAACGGACGGACGGACTGGCAGATGGACAGATGAGTGAATGCATGTGGCGATGCGATGCTCTTGTAAGAGCAGCAGCAGTTTTTTGTACATATCTCCGCTAGAGATCGTCGAACGTTGAACATCGACGGGGGAACGTTTCAGCGAACGTTGTATGCCAATGACGACGACGACGGAGACGGCAGCGACGAGTATATAAGATTTATAGTTGCTATTTTTAAAAACGGCATATTAACAATCGTAGGCTAGGGATCGGAACATTACCGAACCAAACCGAACCGAACCGAGCCAGAGCAAGACGCTGATGATGTACAGAATTTAAATTCATATAACGAACGTTACATGGATAAATGGATGAATGGAGATGCAGAGTGTGCGTGTTTTTTTGGCTGCCTGTGGGTTTATTGAACTCTATTCTTTAGTCACCCTACAAAAACCCACAAGCATAAATTTAGAATAATTTTTGTCTTTATATGGTTTAAAAGAATTTACATAAATTAATGTGATCGCGTTTATAGATATCCTTACATTTCATAAGCAACTGGAGCACAGTCTGTAGGGTTAACAAAAGCTTAACAAATAATTTTGGGTAAGAAAATTTAATTGATCTTTCAGTCTATAACAAACCGAATAAACATTTTAAATTGGAAACTTTTGACTTATGTACGAAGACCATTCCAACTCGTATGTATGTACACATATCACTCTAACTCATCAAATAATTTATATTAATGTACCAAATATTGGGGATACAACGATTTTTTTAAAATTTAATCTGATTTCGAAATTGTGTCTAAATTATTTCTATGGAAGAAAAGCAAAGAAAGTCTCGAAATATCTCAAACAGTTCTGTTATTTGTTTTTCATCAGGAGTTCCCTGGAGAACTACTTTAGCAGACTGAATGTGCATAAAGGTGCCGCCATCTAGCGGCAAAGACTCGAACAAATCGTGCACCTCGTGCACCTCGGCACGATTATCCTCTTAGATGGGGATTTGGGTTGGAAGGGGATGGCGTTGAGCAGCTTCGACTGTAAATTGGGTAACGGTAACAACAAAAGGGCTGACAATCAGATTGCACCTTTGGTGTGGAAAAGGTGGGTGCGGCAGGGTGACAAGAGGATGATAACATATTTGTTTTCGTGTGAGTGCCGCTAGAGGCAGTGGCAGTGGCAGAGCGGTATACCGCGCTAGCAGGTGCACACGCATAAGCTTCTTGCCCTATGATACACTCTCTCTACTCTACTTGAACAACATCAGGTCTCTGGGGCGAACATATCTATTTACATACACATTTATGTATGTACATATCCTTGAGAAAAGGGGATTTCGACACACTCTGTTACTTACCCACACTCGCAAATACTCGCACACGTAAAAGCATTGGAAAAGCGAAAGTAAAAACGCCTACGCGAACTTGTTAGGGGTGAGAGAGAGAGAGAGAGTGACAAGGGGAGTAGAGTTTGTGCGACTGCGCTCTTTCAGGTTGCACTTTCCATTGCCTACATTCGAGCGTGAAAGAGATACAGGGGGTGGACGGGAGTGAGGTGCGCGCCGGTAACCGCGTGTTTTTTTCTCTCTTTGTGCATGTGTGCGTGTGCTTCGGAGAGGAGAAATCGAAAGTTTTGAAACTTGTAGCTTTTGGGGAAGAGCAGAGCTAACTCTGTTATAGATACAGGAAGTCAAGATGTATGTATTTGTACAAGGTGAGTCCATTGCGAGAGAGCGATTTTGTAAAAGGTGCACAATACGTAAAGGGAAAAGAAGAGTGTGAGAGAGACAGGAGGAGTTACAAAGCCTAACAAACAGTTTGGCCAGCTCCTGAATAGCGGAAATTGCTTCACCTTGATTAAATGTGTCTTGCAGGAAGTTGCTCGCTGGCGTTGCCAGATCGTGGATGCTATCTCTCAACTCCCATGCGCAGGCTGGCATCTCTGCCACACATACAACTACACACCGTTTAACGAAAGCTCTCTTTCAAAGGCCAAAAGCGAAAGAATAAGAAGAAGCAGCAGCAACACCAGTAGAAGGAGCAGAAGGAGCAGCAGTCACTGGAACTCGAACACACTTTTTTCTCTTCATTCTTCATCCGAAAAAAAAGCGATACACACGGAAAACCTGGCCCCCGTATTCATTCACCGTATACCGAGGCGAGAAGCATAGGCAACACCGCTAGTCCCCGCGAAGCAACCAGAAGAGCGTGGTTCCAAATTCTTTTTTTTTGTTTGCTTTTAACGGCACATAACGATAAAACTACTGCAAAATTTAAGTTAATCAAATTAGTTTTGTGTTAAATGAAAACCGCTCTCGTTGGTTGGCATTTATATTATTTTTGTTTGTGTGTCTTGTCTTGGTTTGTGCGTGTGCAACGTTGAAAAAATAGTACATATATTTGCATTTTGCATTCGTGTGTGTGTGACAGTGCGTGCTTGTGTGTGTGTGAGCCACGTGAAGGTAAAGGCGCGCCAACAACACCAAGTGACAGCGGGAAAGAAGGAGGGGGGACGGGACAAGTCAGTGGACAGAGTCCGAAGGGCAGCGGACGGCCCAAGGTAGAGAAAGTGAGTAAGAGAGAGAGAGAGAGAGAGAGAGACAGGACAGTGTTGAGTAGAGCAGAAGCTGAAGCTGAAAACGAAACTGAAAAGAAAGTGAAAATTTGCCCAACGTGGAAAAGTGCAAAAGAAGGAGAGAAGGGTGCGATCCTTCAGACGTAAAACTGTTGAATATAGAATGACGTTACAGAGAGAAATCAATTTGGAAAACAACAAAAAAGCAACAGCAGTAGCAGCAGCACCAGCAGGAGTAACTGTAAACTTATCGTCAGCAGGAGCAGCAGCAGCAGCAACAGCAGCAGGCGAAGGAACAGCAGCAGCGAAAACAACAGAGGAAGCAACAGCAACAGCAGCGTCAAGAAGCTCACCACACAAGCAGAGATAAAGTGAAGAAGGCCATTCAAGCTGCGCGAAAAAGCAAGAAGAGGAAAGAGTCTTAAAGAAGAGCAAGAACTCACTAGTGGGAAAAGTGCTACAGCCAGTACCGGAAGAAGTGAAAGAGAATCAGCCGAAGCCCAAGCAGCACAGGTAGCAGAAGATCAGTAAGACACCGATACATCAGCACAGGCAAAGTCAGCGTCAGCGTCAGCAACAGCGAGCGAAACACCTCACAAACAACGGTAAAAAAAACTCTCGGATCTCTTTGCCATTTTATTGGTAACTCTTTCGCGTTGCGTTCGATTGTTGGTGCTGTTGCTCGGTTTACTCATCTCATCTGATAACTGTTAAACATTTGGATAGCGGCTGTGGAAGGGAAGGAAGCAAGGAGAACGCAATGAAGCCATCGGATTTGTTGTTGGTGCTAGAGAAGGTAAGCAAAAGCCACAAAAGGTTACAATAAATCATATTAAATACCAAAATGAACAACAACAAAAAGCACTGCAGAAAATACCAAAAGTTGTTTTAGGTTTTTTTTTGGTCACTGCTAAAATTAAAGCAGCTCCCCCGCACCACCTAACCTAACTCAAAGCACATGACTCGGCGCTACGTACGCATACATATCTTCATACATACATATGTACATACATACATACATACATATGTATTACTGTTTGTTCGCCTCTGTGTATACGTGTGCGTGGCTGTGGGTGTGGGGAAGTGGGCTCTGGTTGTATGGTGGCATGGCCGTAAAAAGGTCATTATGATACTGAACGCCAACGCAGACATACATTTACATGCACACATACATACATAAATGCCAGTGCGTAAATGTTTGTGTGTGTGTGTGTGTGTGTGTGAACTTATGCAAATCCATTTAATAAAAAGAGAGGAAGACAAACCATGGAGTTAAGAAGAAGCAGCAGGCTTACAGGGTCACTTGGGCAAATACATACAAACATACATACGACACAAAAACAAAAACAACAACAGCGTTGTGGGTGTCGGAGGAAGGGTGGTTGGGAGGGGAGTGCTGCAATGTAGGAGCGTAAAAGCCACAAATACAAAGAAATGGTAAAAAAAAGGAAATACATGTGTACATATGTATTTGCATGTATTTTGATACCCTTTCAGAGACAATGTAGTACCCCCGTCCCCAGCCATATGGTGTGGAATTACAACAATCTTAATCTTAAGAAACTCGCATCAAAGAGATTCTTCAATTGTAATTTGTAATATTTAATACCTTTAAGGGAATATTTGTACAAGAAATTAACAATGATGCATGCATGGTAATACCCTCTATGCACCACACGCACAGCAGACAGAAAAGCACACATTGCATGCAAAAAGAGGGTATTATGGTAGGGTTCTGAATATGGGCGCTACATTTTTGGCTTTCAGTTATCTTTATGGCCACTTCTGTCTACCTAGCTCCCTTGCTCCCTTTCTCCCTTTACGACCGCAGCTGTAATTGGAGCCGGAGACGGGTGACGGGACACAAGAGCCGGATACACGTCCCCTAGAGCTATAGAGCCCCCGAGCCAAATGCCACCAACCAGAACAGTTAGTGTCCAGTTAGTATGCCCCAGGGCAGGCAGGGGTGACGAAGCAGAACGAGAGAAAGAGGGGGAGCAAGGGAGAAAGTATATAAATATAGCATCTGTTGTTGGTAGGCTTGCAGGTGGGAAAGGGATGCGCTTAGAGACCGAAGCTCCATCACTCATACGCCGTGTGGCGGACCAACCTAAAAGTATGCTTCTCATTACGACAATGACTGTTCAAAGGAATGTGTTCAAGGAATTGGCATGTCAGATAAATGATAGAGTAGGCAGGCATACGTTACATAGATGACAACCAAGAGAGGCAGTAAGAAATCAGGGTAGGGTGCCTGCCGCTAAAAGGTTTTTAGATTTCCTCTACAACAATCTCATAATTGATTTATGTAAAATAAGCTTGAGATAAATGCAGATACGTATGTACAGAACAGAACCCATGCATTCATCTCTTGAGCATTCATTTATTTGAAAGATAAACGATAAACGCCACAAAATGCCAGCACCAGCACCCATTCTCTTTTGGTTGGGGTTTGGGTGGGAGGATGACCTTCTGTGCCAGTGGCTTCAACTGCAGTTGTTGCTCCTCCCATCCTTTGGGTACACGCGCCCCTGGTCCCCCTCTTACTTGCGAGCCATTAATAACGACAATTCACTCAAACAACAACAACAAGAACAGTAGAAGGAGAAAGTGGAAGTGGGAGAGAGGGGACATAAAAAAGAAATGGGTACGACAAATGTCGCCGCAGCATGCAACTTGTTGGAGCAGAACGGATGGGAGACTGCACACCAAAAGGGGGAGTGCTTCGGTGCGGTGCGGCAGGGCGGTTAATGGATATGATTGCTTGTTGCACTCGACTGGGGACAGCTTCGGAACTGGGTGTCGGATGAGGCTGCGGCAGCGGCAGCGGATGGGGCTGGTGCTGGGGGGAACCACTGGTACGGACTGCTCGGGGTCAAATGGAAGGACAATACAGTATGGAGGAGATGGTACGAGTATGCTTTGATTGCGTCAAAGCTGCTGCTGCTGTTGTCGTTCTGTTGCTGTCCTGGAATAGAGCCAAGTCCTACAGTTATCACCGAGCAGAATAGACAGAGAGTCACTGCGGTTGGCTTGCCCACCCGTTGAGTTGACATTCGGTTGAGACCCAACTTAAGGTCGATCAATATACTCGTACTCTATACGAAATGAAGGACAGCCTGCATGTTGATTTAGAGCAATAACTTGGGCAATGGTTTAGATAGAATAGGTTTTCCCCATTCCGATTTCCCAAATAATATTCTGTTATTCAAACCTGAAAATATAAACAGCTCTCCATCGTATTTGATACTCATATTTATATTGAGCTCGTGCACATCTGTTTGGGTCATGATTTGTCGGTACTTGTGCTGAGCGTCGTGCGGTAGCGCCCCTCGGTCGATTCAGTTTTCCTTGCTGCGAATTAGCTGTGGCCTTAGCCTTTAATTTTGCATTTCAGAAGCCAAAAACTTGTTGCAAATATCGATTGCCATCAGTTGATCAGTGCAGAAGGGCACTTGAGGGTTGGGAAATAAGTAGGGCCAGTGGTAGGATGGTATAATGGGTGGAAGGCGCTTATCTTTTAGCGGCAGATGTCGTTGGCACTCCACAATTAATTGCTCTCTCTCTCTCGTTGTCCCTCTTTTGGATTGCAGGTCAAGTTCAGGGTGCCACTGCCGCCTGGCGTTAGCTCGACAACGCTCCTGCCGAAGCTCATACGCACCAAGGATGTGAGGCAGCTGCAGGACGGAAATGCACAGCCACAGAAGCCCAAGCTGACGGTGAGATCCACTCCAATGAAACCCTATCCGGACATCTCTTATCCGATTGATTTATGCACTTGCAGAAATGTCTCAACACCTTGGACCTAACCTCGCTGGGCATTGGCTCTTGCTGTGGCACTGGCATGTATCTGGTTGCCGGCATGGTGGCCCAGAAGATAGCCGGACCCGGTGTGATTATTAGTTTTATTATAGCCGCCATAGCGAGTATTTTCTCAGGTAAGTTTAGCAAAAATCTATTCTCTAAATAGGTATTTATACTTATGTGGAACGCAGGCGCTTGCTATGCGGAATTTGGCGTTCGTGTGCCACACACATCCGGCTCGGCCTATATGTATTCATATGTGGCAGTTGGTGAATTTGTAGCTTTTATAATTGGTTGGAACATGATATTGGAATATCTAATAGGTGAGTGGAGTGGGAGCGGCTAGAAGAATGCATCCATTGATCAATTTCTCATTAACAGGAACAAGTGCCTGTGCCTGTGCTTTAAGTTCTAGCTTCGATTCCCTAACTGGCAATGCCATTGCGCGCACGATAAGCGAGTCCATTGGCACGATATTCGGTAACTAAATGGAAACATTCAACTATGAATCTATGGCACACTCATTTTGTTTCATTCAGGCAAACCACCGGACTTTATTGCCTTTGGCATAACGCTACTCATGACCTGCGTATTGGCGATGGGCGCCAGCAAGTCGGTCATTTTTAATCATTCACTAAATGCTGTCAATCTGGCCACGTGGGTATTTGTCATGGCTGCCGGCCTTTTCTATGTGGACACCAAGACGTGGTCGGAGCATCAGGGTTTCCTGCCCTTTGGCTGGAGTGGTGTAAGTATTCCACAATTCCTTTCCTATGAGCCCCAAAGATGAATTTACAAAAATTCTTTGCAGGTATTTTCCGGTGCCGCCACATGTTTCTATGCATTTATCGGATTCGACATAATTGCAACGACCGGTGAGGAGGCGCATAATCCACAAAAGAGCATACCAAAGGCAATTGTTGGCTCTCTGGTTGTCGTCTTGATTGCCTATGTCAGCGTCAGTTTAGTTCTTACCTTAGTGGGTAAGTCTTAGTCTCCACACAGGAGATCAATCTGTCTGTCCATCTGCTTATTAATTGCTTGCATTTCTTTTGTATATTTAGTGCCCTACGATCACATCAATACGGGTGCGGCTCTGGTTCAGATGTGGTCGTATGTAAATGCACCAAAGTGTCGCGCTGTGGTGGCGATTGGTGCCACGGCTGGCCTCTCCGTGGCAATGTTTGGGTCAATGTTTCCGATGCCGCGCGTCATCTATGCCATGGCCCAGGATGGTCTGATTTTCAGGTGCATATATCAAAATGTCTTTCATGAGGGGGAAATCCAATCCCATGCTCCGTTTCAGACAACTTTCGCAGCTGTGGCAGCGCACCAATGTGCCCGGTCTGGCCACCATTGGCAGTGGACTGGCTGCAGCCTTGGTCGCGCTCACCATACGCCTGGAGATACTCGTTGAGATGATGTCCATCGGCACACTGCTGGCCTATACCCTGGTATCGACTTGTGTGCTGGTGCTGCGCTATCAGCCGCACAGCACTTCGCTGGTGGAACTGCTGCCGGCACAGCTGCGTACTCCGGTTGCACCGGGCACGGCCAGTGATTCCCATGCAACGCCTGCGGAGGTGCTCGAGGTGCCCAATAAGCTGACCATCAAGCGGGTGACACGCGGCATGTCCGACTCGGATGACTCCTTCATCGATGACAGCCCCGAGGGCTATATGGGCGGCCGAGATGATCAATTTCTGGTGTCCGACCGCTCCGAGAATAAGTTCTATGGCAGCGTGCATGGAGCACCCACTGGACCCACCGGCCAGGCCACCGCCTTCGATACAATGGGATTGAATTTTATCACACGAAAGATTCACGATTATGCGTACCTGTGCCCCGGCTTCTTTCCCTGGATAAATCCCGGTCAGGCCACCACCGATAGTGGTATGTAATATTAGTTTTTCGACTCTGATTAGATTAGGTTCTAATCGATGGCGATGCAGAATCCAAAATTCAAGTTTTTAAATCGAAAATTTACTCTTTTTGCTTTTGCTTTTTTCAATCCAAACCAAAAACGAAACTAAAACTAAAACTAAAACCAAACCCAAAACCTAAACCAGGCATGTATGTCACGAAACTAGTTGGAATCATGTTCGGTCTCATATTCTTCTTGGATTTATTCGCGGCGATTGGATGGTCCGGTGGCCTGGCCGCCTTCATTTATTTCATTTTATTTATCGGCATATTTGTGATATTATTGATTATATCGAGGCAACCGCAGAATAGGTAAAACAGAAAGCTGCAGCAAGCACATAAACGGATGACTACAACATTTATTCCTTCTCCTACTCCTGCGACCTGCGACATCTCTCTCTCTCTCTCTCTCTCTCTTTCCCGCTCCCGCTCTGTCTCGCTCTCGCTCTCTATCGTTCTCTCTCTGATAGATATGCTTTGGCTTTTCTGACGCCGGGACTACCCTTTATACCAGCCATAGCCATCACAGTGAACATCTATCTGATATTCAAGCTGAGCATCCTCACCCTGGTCCGTTTCACCGTCTGGATGTCCCTTGGCCTTATCATGTACTTTTACTACGGCATTACACACAGCAGCCTGGAGCAGACAAGCGATGATCTCGAGCTGCATGTGGACAAGGATTATGTTAGTTTTTAGCCAATCAAATAAACGCACAAACTTCATTGACTCTTCATAAATTCATAGAGCAAAAACGTTGAGGAGAAAGCCGTCTGGGATCAGCAATCGTATAATCAAACCCACGAGCCAGTTTGGGCCAGCAAGGAGGTGAAGCAGCCATCGAGTAAGGGCTGGAAATTTATTAATTTAGAATTAAATTCATCCTTTTTCTTCTTATTCTTTTACTCGGCATAGAGCAACGCTATAACTACGGAAAATCTTCGTCTTCGTCTAATCAGAGCAGCTCCAAAAATGCCCAAAGCAATGCGGCGGGAAAGCCTCCAGGCCGCAGCTCGACGGGCACACGGCCAGTGGCGCCATCGCCTCACACATCCGCTGGACAGGCGAAGCCGCAGGGAACGGGAACGGGAACGGGCGGTGGAACGGGTGGACCGCCCATGGAGCGTCAATATACAGGACAGTTTAGCATGTTTGTGGACGAGGGCCAGTTCCCGTCGTGGGAAGACTAAACTGAATGGGGGAATACCCCTAACTAAAACCCTAACTCCCATAGTTGATTTCCCCCGAGTTTTCCCCAATCCTCTGTTGATATCCTTTGATCAGCCCCAAGCAGTAAGGCTGCACAAAGCCACTCCCAAATCCCAAGGCCACGTTTCGAATTCGGATAGTACTGGCAAAAACTGGGCCGCTCTTCAAGGCGTCGATCTGTGATCGTAGCCGTGTACGCTTGGGTGTGTCCAGAACGGAACCAGTCCCAGGTAGAGCTCACTCAACTTGTATATACAATTAGAGATGTTAAGTTTACCGAAATGAAATACATACAAATATGTATGTTTACGCCGTACATGTTAGACGAGACGAGAAGGGACGAAACGAGAAGTGACGAGATGGGAAGTGACGAGAGGAGACGAGCGAGCGTTTAGCGTGAGCGACGTTATACACTTATACCATATACAACATAGTATATACAGATATACATATATACATATATATATATATACAAGAAATTACATACATATATACCTATGCATATATATATACTATATACAAAACATAGATTGGGTTATTAGTGCAAAGTTATTATCAAAATCCTGTGTATCCCATATCCCACACATTCCCGAACTTCTTCTTGTGCTCAGCTTCGATTGGCGAACGTTTTGGGTGACGCTGGTCAATCGGCATTCAGCACAAGGAAAAAAAAGAGGACAAGACGACGACCCCGGGACACTGGAATCTGTTCCCCTGTACACTGAACAGATGAATATTATTGAAAACGTTCGGCACAGCCAGGCAAAAAATAAAACACATCCCTGTGCGTGTGCGTGTGAGAGCGCGGGTGTGCACAACTGTACATTTTAGACACTCGATATTCTGGCACACACATACACACACACAAACAAACAGTCTCAGAGCAGATCTTTGCCTAAGCTTACGATCCAAACACAGAATACATCACTACACACACACACACACACACACAGAAATTCTTATGTATTTATGATTGTATTGTTGTTCAAATATTTGTGCGCTACATGCTATGCTATGCATTTTAGAAAACATTTTGACATTTAACATTTTTGATGTATGTGTATGAATACAGTACTCTCTCCCCCCCCTCTCCTCAACACCATCTATCGCTCTATCTACAATTGTTTATTGTTTATTGATTCTAGAGGCTCGCGCTAAGCTAAACCACACATTTATAAGCGGCATTTCGCACTTTTTTGTCAGTAATTCAATAATTAATTTTTTTCTTAACAAATACCAAACCAAAAAAACAAAAAACACAAAAAAAAAAACAAATTACCAAAAGAAAAGTAAATAAATATAAACGCATATTTATGAAGAATACAGTATAAAACAAGAGCAAAACTAAATACAAAAAAAAAAAACAAAAAGGAAGAATACCAAAAAATATTTACTTATCGAAAAGAAAACTATTCAAAAAAAGCTATACCAAAATCATAAATACAAAAACAAATTATGATGTACTATAAACGAAACGAGTCCAAAACCAAAATGACAAAAACAAATGAACACAAATATTATATGAAAAAAGCTATACCAAAAACAAAAAAAAAAAACAAAGCAAAGAACGTTTATGTACAATGCATACTTTTTTCCACTTTATATACTATGTACCAGCAAAAGCATACATATATGTATAACTAACTATTTTTAACTCAATTTGAAAAGCATATGGGAAAAACAGAAGCATAATTTTTAAAGAATATTAATATTTCTCGTTACTTGTGTTGTTTTATTCGTTTTGTATTCAACAAGTATGTACATACACAAGCCTTACCCACACACTCACACACATACAGAGACAGACAAACAAAAAACAAAAAACTCTCAAAATATCTAAAGAAAAAATATGAAAAAAGAAAATATTTCAGCAGAATTAAAGTAAACCTAAAACATGAGACAGGGCGAATATTTTATACAACATAAATTACTTCTAAGAGATTCGACAGCTTTCATTTTATTTTTAAAATGTATTTTTTATTAATTTGTGTTGATCGATTACATTTCAAGTGCCAAATCAATGCACAATAACCGTGTAGCCACCAGACAGGAAAGCAAAACAGATGAGAACCGATAGAATCCGATCAGCACACTTTCAAGCATTCTCGTTGAAAAAAAAAAAACAAATCTTTCTGGACCAACTACTTAAGATCTATAGAGCCCGGACTAAATATTATGTTTACGTACCATTTGCACCTATACCCGCACTTATACTCATATGATTTCAATCATTCCAAAATTTGTTAGAGAATTGAAGCAGAACGATTTGTACATACGCAACTACTGAAACCAATCAAGCAACCAACCAACAAACAGGCAAACAAACAGACAGACATGGATAATTGAATACTATATAGCATATAGTATACACAAATACATACAGATATATTTTTATGAAAGTCAACAACACCAGAACATGCAATTGAGATGAAAGAGCAAAACGTAAAGAAAGAGAAAAAGAAAAAGAATAACATATCCTAAGACAACACAGCTTAAAGTTGAAAAAAATATATAAAAAAATAAAATCGAATCGAATCGAACAAATCGAGACAGAAGCTCCGATAACGATATGTTCAATTAGCGATTACTGATTACCGATTATAAATGAGATTATGACAGCACAGGCTGGAGGGAGAAACTGGGTCACATGAAAATTTGAAACTCATCTTCAGAATCGGTTCTCAGTGATAGCTGACTGACTGTCCGGTGTCACGCGTACTACCACAACAACTACAAAAAAACTACTACTACTTATACTAACGTACTACAATTTATGACAACAGGTAAAATGCAATCCAATAACTGCAGGCTGAAACAGTTTGCTCTTCCACCTTTCGGTTCTTTCGGTACCACCAAGTTAAGATAACTGTTATGGGAATATGATAGTTTATAATAGATTTTCTACAGTTCCAATTTGAAGTGAATAAAAAACAAAACAAAAAACTATAGTTAAAGAAATACGGAAATATCGTTAAATATATACATAATGATGAAAGAAACAAAATAGAAAACAAAACAGAAAACGAAAGAAAACCAAAAACGAAAAGCTTCCGTTACCAAAACGTATGCATTTTACTAATACATATATTATTTATATACCCGTCTCGTACCTTTTTGATCTATCGAACGAAAAATAAAAGAAAACATAACGTAGGAATAGGCAGGGAAGGGAACATTTACGAGTACACTCTACACACTGTCTATGCTCACTGCAACTGTATTTGTAATAACTGTAAACGGAATGAAAAATCAGAGAAACAGAATTATGTAGAATCAGATCGAAGAAGCAGCACCTTAAGAATCCACAATAAGACACAGCAATAAGAGGAACAGCAATAGCAGAGAATACAAACATTCCAATGCCGAAACCCTTAAAAATAACTGATGAAAAAAGCCAAGCATAAATAAGAGTAGTAAAATAAAGCAAAAAAACAAAAAACAAATACCAGATATTTGTTTGCATTAGATGATTATTTCATTAGTTTATTGATTGATTGATTGCTTGATTTCCCAGCTGAATATAACGTACCTAAGTTTTTATTTATTTCATAAGACTGAATTACTGGAATATGATTTGATTTAAAATGTGTACATTGTATATACATAAATATGTAATTAAGGGGTAATAGCGAAACTTTACAACTTTTAATAATGGAGCAACCAAATTTTTGAAATTATTCTGTACTTATTTATCAAAAAAGCGAAATAGCGAAACAAAAATAAGATAAAACATCTCGAAGGAAGCGCGAAAACAAAAAAACGGTTGAACTCTCGTCGAGCGAAAGAAGTTAAAATACAACTATTAATATATTATATATACGGGAAAGTCCCAAAATGATGATGATGATGATGAAGATTTATATATATATATACATATATATATATATATATATATATATTTCAATGGATCGGTTACATAAAACAAGTAAACCAAAATGAAAATGGGGCTAAAATATATGAAAAAAAACATTTTTTATTCAAATACTACTCTTGATTTGTTTTATGTGTTAATAACTTATTACAAGATATTTCTTGAGAATATTAAAAGAATTAAAATATAAAAATTGTTAGGATATTCAAACCTGGCTGAAGCTGTTTTTTTCTAAGTCGCTGGTATTTCAAGACTAACGGACACAACGCGCCACCGAAAATTTCATACAAACGGAAATCGATGACGGTGATGGTACCCCACCGATAACTGTTTCCACTTTGTGGCGGCTTCCAGTAATACTTTTCGTTTATTCGACATGAAGCAACTGAAGAAAAGCGAAAATTGCATTTAAAATTCTGAAAATTACCTTCTAATGGTGTACACCTCAAAAATGTATATACATATTAGCAAATAATTGTCAACGTGTTATTGACAAGAGTTATGTAAGTGAAGTGTTTTGACTTGTTCCACTGTTCAATATTTTTGATAAAAGTGGGTTTAAGTGGGTTAAGCTTTCCTTGGCATATATAAGGTATATTTTGAAAATGATCAAATATAATTCGGTATATTTTTTAGAGGGTCATGCAGTATATCTTATCGATAAGTCCGCTGTCATCAGGGTGACCATTTACGGTATATTATGTACTTTTTTGGATTGTCTTTCTTCTCGTTACGTACTTGTCTCTCTCCCGCAACGTGAGAATTTTTCTCGCAATAATGAGTCTTTATTCCATCCCCACTTATTTATTTTACCGTAGGAAACATAATTTGTATAGACCCCCAGCTTGCAGCAAATATAATACAATATACTTTACTATCGGTTGGCCAGCAACAAATTGCCAAATGATGTGACAATTCATTCCCATCCACGTAACTTTTAATGCTATTTTTTGTGGTTGACCGTTTTAGTTTAAACCTTATTATGAAATCAAAATCAGCCAACTTTGTATAGAATGAAATAATGATTCGAGTCAAATTACATTTTCAAAGCTGAGATTCATAACCAGCTGGTAATATAAAACAGAAAGTCAAACTTGAGGAAAAATTATTTAAGATTTACGGTATATTTACAGTATATTTTAAAAATCAAAGGGTGTATTTTCGAGGGTCTGTCGGTATATGTTATTGATAATTCCGCGGTCACACAGGCTGCCACACTGAAAAGAAAATAATTAATTTTGTTGGTGCCCGAAAAAAAACGAATTTTACAGGTAATCCAAGGTGCTGACGCAGAAAAATAGTGTAATACGCATAAGACGGACATTGAGTAGAACATATCTGAAATGGGCTTACATGCAGACGTGTTAAATGGGGCGTATGCTGTGTTGTAAAATCTTTGTAGCTTTGTATTTGAGACGTGTTCAAGCTCTGTATCTGGTATGAGTATGTGTACGCCCCTAGAGGGAATCAAATGCCGCAGCAATCAATAAATAAATCATTTTGTCAATCGTTCTTTTATTAAACGCACGTTCCCTTATTTGACTTCCAGCCTTCCTAACTAGTTCATAGAGCTGAGCTAACAAGATGACCGATTCAAAGTATTTCACAACCACCAAAAAGGGCGAAATTTTCGAGCTCAAGTCCGAGCTGAACAATGACAAGAAGGAGAAGAAGAAGGAGGCTGTGAAGAAGGTTATTGCCAGCATGACCGTCGGAAAGGATGTGTCTGCCCTCTTTCCGGATGTCGTCAACTGCATGCAGACCGATAATCTAGAGCTGAAGAAGCTGGTCTACTTGTATCTGATGAACTATGCCAAGTCGCAGCCGGACATGGCCATCATGGCGGTGAATACATTCGTGAAGGATTGCGAGGACTCCAATCCGCTGATCCGTGCCCTGGCCGTGCGCACTATGGGCTGCATACGGGTGGACAAGATAACCGAATATCTGTGCGAGCCGCTGCGTAAATGTCTGAAGGATGAGGATCCGTATGTGCGCAAAACGGCGGCTGTCTGCGTGGCGAAGCTGTACGATATATCGGCTACCATGGTGGAGGACCAGGGATTCCTAGATCAGCTGAAGGACCTTCTCTCCGACTCCAATCCGATGGTCGTGGCCAATGCAGTGGCTGCCCTCAGCGAAATCAACGAGGCCAGCCAGTCGGGACAGCCGCTGGTAGAGATGAACTCAGTGACCATTAACAAGCTGCTGACGGCCCTCAACGAGTGCACAGAGTGGGGCCAGGTCTTCATTCTGGACTCGCTGGCCAACTACAGCCCCAAAGATGAGCGCGAGGCGCAGTCGATCTGTGAGCGAATCACGCCTCGTTTAGCCCATGCGAACGCTGCCGTGGTTCTCAGTGCCGTCAAGGTGCTGATGAAACTACTCGAGATGCTCTCCAGCGACAGTGACTTCTGTGCGACGCTCACCAAGAAGCTGGCCCCGCCCCTGGTGACGCTGCTTTCCTCTGAGCCAGAGGTCCAGTACGTGGCTCTGCGCAACATCAATCTAATTGTCCAGAAGCGTCCCGACATCCTCAAGCATGAGATGAAGGTGTTCTTTGTGAAGTACAACGATCCCATCTACGTGAAGCTCGAGAAGTTGGACATTATGATCCGTTTGGCCAACCAGAGCAACATTGCCCAGGTGCTCAGCGAACTGAAGGAGTACGCCACCGAGGTGGATGTCGATTTTGTGCGCAAAGCGGTGCGAGCCATCGGTCGTTGTGCCATCAAGGTGGAACCATCGGCAGAGCGCTGTGTCTCCACTCTGCTGGATCTCATTCAGACCAAAGTCAACTATGTGGTACAGGAGGCAATTGTTGTCATCAAGGACATCTTCCGCAAGTATCCCAACAAGTACGAGAGCATTATCAGCACCTTGTGCGAGAATCTGGACACCTTGGACGAGCCGGAGGCGCGTGCCTCAATGGTCTGGATCATTGGCGAGTATGCCGAGCGCATTGATAACGCAGACGAGCTGCTCGACAGCTTCCTCGAGGGCTTCCAGGTGAGCGCACGCGCACACGCTTATAACTTGAACCCTAAATTAAATCTTTGTTTCTATTGTTTTGCAGGATGAGAATGCCCAAGTTCAGCTGCAGCTGCTGACGGCTGTGGTGAAGCTTTTCCTTAAGCGGCCATCAGATACCCAAGAGCTGGTGCAGCATGTCCTCTCGCTGGCCACCCAGGATTCGGACAATCCCGATTTGCGCGATCGTGGTTTCATTTACTGGCGTCTACTCTCCACGGACCCGGCCGCCGCCAAGGAAGTTGTGCTGGCGGACAAGCCTCTCATCTCAGAGGAAACGGATCTTCTGGAGCCGACGCTGCTAGACGAGCTCATCTGTCACATCAGCTCGCTGGCCAGCGTGTACCACAAGCCGCCAACAGCCTTTGTGGAGGGACGCGGTGCTGGCGTGCGCAAATCTCTGCCCAACCGCACGGCCGGTACTGGTGCCAGTAGCGGGGCAGGAGATCAGCAAGAGACGGGAGCCGGATCGGAGGCCATGGTCATACCCAATCAGGAGTCGCTGATCGGGGATCTGCTGTCCATGGACATCAATGCTCCAGCCATGCCCGCCGCCCCAACTGCCACAAGCAATGTGGATCTGCTGGGCGGTGGTCTGGACATACTGCTTGGTGGACCACCAGCTGAACCGGCACCGGGCGGCGCCTCCAGCCTGCTGGGTGACATCTTCGGCCTGGCCGGCACATCCCTTTCTGTGGGCGTACAAATCCCGAAAGTCACGTGGCTGCCAGCGGAGAAGGGCAAGGGCCTGGAGATCCAGGGCACCTTCTCCCGCCGCAACGGCGAAGTCTTCATGGACATGACGCTCACCAACAAAGCCATGCAGCCGATGACCAATTTTGCCATCCAGCTGAACAAGAATAGCTTCGGCCTGTCGCCAGCATCGCCGCTGCAAGCGGTGCCCTTGCCCCCCAACCAGAGCGCCGAGGTGAGCCTCGCCCTGGGCACCAACGGACCCATTCAGCGCATGGAGCCGCTGAATAACCTTCAGGTGGCGGTGAAGAACAACATTGACATCTTCTATTTCGCCTGCCTGGTGCATGGCAATGTGCTGTTCGCCGAGGACGGGCAGCTGGACAAGAGGGTCTTCCTGAACACCTGGAAGGAGATACCGGCCGCCAACGAGCTGCAGTACAGCCTGAGCGGCGTCATTGGCACCACCGACGGCATCGCCTCGAAGATGACCACCAACAACATCTTCACCATTGCCAAGCGCAATGTCGAGGGCCAGGACATGCTCTACCAGTCGTTGAGGCTGACGAACAACATTTGGGTGCTGCTGGAGCTAAAGCTGCAGCCGGGCAATCCCGATGCAACGCTCAGCCTCAAGTCACGCTCCGTCGAGGTGGCCAATATCATTTTCGCCGCCTACGAGGCCATCATTCGATCGCCCTAAGCTCGGAAAACAAATCGAAATAAGATACCACAGCACCGCCTCTCAATGTTTTCTGGCGGTACAACAAGCAAATTGTAGTTTACGTATTATATTTTAACAACTACTTTTGCCATGTTGGGTATACTGGGAGTTTGCGAATTGTTTATGCACCTATAACTACAATATATTAATATATGCATACATACATACATACATACACACACACCATATGTAATACTTATCCTGATGAAAGGCGCGAGGAGAAGACGCAAATATGTTAATTGTTATGATACGTCGCATTCCAAAATATATAATATCCCATCCATACCCCAGCTCCCACTTTAAACAACCCAAATGCATGCATCCATGTATGTATATCTACATATGTTTGTCCTAGTAAAAAAATGTATGACGCATAATGTGTAACACTAAACACTAAATAATCAAAACATTTATGCGCTCCTTTGTTTCATGTCGGTGGGGAGAGGGTAAACCAGGGATGCCAATACAATCCTGACACGGCTGTACGAAGCTTTGGCTCGTCCTCAGCTTAAAGCTTTTGGTTTGCGTGTGTGGCTTTCAGCTGTTTAAGGGTTGTTTTGTTTACGCAAGTCGTTCTCTATCGTTCCTTTTCTAACCGACAGTGCCCTGCGCCTTTGGTCGTGCTCTATCCATCCCTGTCTTGCACCGCTCTGCTCTATTGATGCGCCGTTGTTGGCGCCCGCAGGAGTGTGTGTTTTGTTGTACCACAAGCGAGTTCGTCTTGGCCCCGATTGTAGCAGAATACACGTCCATGCTCCAACGCCACCAGCCACCAGCCACCAGCCATCCGCTGCAAATATGTGTACACAAAATAATAAAATTGCAACGCATCAAATATTAAAATTAAGTGGTTAAACAAACCGAACCGTATATTTGCCTAACCTCACAGCCTTGCCACCATGAACGGATGAATAATTACAAGTGAAACAAAGCAAAGGCTTCTACATTCGATTGAGGACAGACTGCGAGATGCGAGGACGGTAAGAGAGTGCTCCGCCCTATTTTGAGGCTTGTTGCAGGAGGCTTGACACACAAAGCGGAGTGTTTTGCGGCAGAAGTGAGGGATGCGAGGCGAGGCTGAAGTTGGTACAATGTACGGCTCAGTGCTGGAATGCGTGGCAGAGTGAACAACAAATATCTGGACTGGACTCTACATAGCCATCCAACTCGACTTCCAGTTTTGCATTTCTTCTTTAAAAACAAAAGGAACACAGAAAAGATCCAAAACGCATTCTGCCGCCGGAATGAGGGTGGGGGCGGATGTGGTCTACGATGGCCACGACTATGGCAGTGATGAAGCCATGGGCAGTCCCCTGGACTGGCCATTTCTGATAAAGGTACGTACGCATACATATGTATGGACATGAATGCATGTATGTACATACACATTTGCCGTGTTGTTTTTTTATAGGTTAAGTCGCACAATATGCAAAGTGTTAACTGTAAAGAGTACAAGTATTGGTTTACAGTACACTTGGAGGCTGCGTTTATGCCTCATAAGATATCGCGAAAAGTAACAAGAGCAATTTTAGCACAGTTGCTGTTATGCTTTGATGATATTCCGCTGTTGACATTGTTTGCTGTAATTTGCATGCACTCTACAATGCATACATGTTTACATATGTTTGTATGTACACACAAAATGCATAAATGCATAATGTATGCACATTAACGCATGCACAAGGTATAATAATAATACAGTTACACAAACAATGCTTCAACCGGCAGTGCATGCGTGCGAAAAAGAGTACATGAGATATGCATGAGTCAGACGCGTGCTTATGTACAATACATACTATGTACATGCATAAATAAGTGGCTAACGGTAAAGTACTGGTGCCATCGCTGGTGCCACTGGCGATGTATGTCACGTGTCCTTGATCGAATTACAGTAAGTGTACACACAGCAGGCCAATGGTTATCTCTATCTCTCTCTCTCTCTTTTACATTGTAATTAGGGCATCTTGGAGAACCAGACATGTACCCCAACCGCACCGGATACCCTGGCAGCCATACTTTGGGCCATATTCGCGGTTTTCGGTATCGTTTACGCCCTGCTCGGCTACCGCTGCCTTCGGGCCGTGGGCTTTCTAAGCGGACTAATGGTGGGTGCCAATGGGATATTCATACTCCAGGACTTCCAGATCACATTCCTCGGCAAGCCGGCAGACTCGGCATTGGCCATTGTGGCCGGACTGCTGGGCGCCGTACTCGGCTCCACATATCCGGTTGCCTCGGTACTGATCAGTGCCTTTGCCGGAGCCCTACTGTCCGGTGCCGCAATGGCCGTTTGTGTGGCCACAATGCCGGACAACGAATTTGGGGTAAGTCAAAAACCTCTCGCCCTTCATCCTTCATCCTACTCATGTTCCGTTCTTCGATTTTTCCGTTTTCTCCGATTTAGTACCGTGAAATATATGTGGCCGTTGTGGGTGGCGCTGTTATCTGCTCGGTGCTCACTCTGTGCTGTGTCAAATACGTTACTATACTCACCTCCAGCATTGTGGGCACGGCCATGATCATTGGAGCCATCGACTTCTTCATGCACGGCCTGGAGACGATAAACTGGGTAAGTGCCAAGTGCCGCTTCCCCTCTGATCCAACTAAAAGTTGTCCTGCTGCAGATACTCAACATGAGGCCGCATCCATTGCCGCCGCCGTGCTATGGCGGCCTCTTGATTGCCGCCTGGCCCGTGACCATCGTGCTCAGCATCATGGTGCAGTGCTTCATAACCGCCTGGCGGGTGGATCATCGCAAGCGTGTATACATGCGGCACCACAATCATCCCAACCATCCCCATGCTACGCACTTGCCGCACAGCCAGCAGCAGGCCGGACCGGGCCACGCCCATGCACCCGTAAGACGCTCACAGTCGCGCACTCGCGAGACTCGCGAGGAGGCCAGACAGCGCAAGTTCCGCTACCTGTACCAGGTGCGAACGGCACGTGGCGACATCATATCACAGGTGAGTGACACTCCCACATGCAGCACCCAGCAGGGAATATCTTGACCATCACTTGACTCTTATTGGCAGAACTTTGTGTCAGCCCTGCAGAAGCGCATTCAGCTAAGTGGCACAGATACGCCATCGGAGCGGTCGATCAAGACCAGCTCGAACGAGCGGAACACCTTCAGAAGCGACCGCACCCACTTCACCACCATCCACGACCCGGACTCGGAGCTGTGCGATAAGATCGAAATTGTCCGTGACATTGGATAACAAACAAGCAATAGCTACATGTAACTATACCCGTAAGGGGGGACTACGGGACTACTGTGGTACTCTGAAAAGGCTTGGACACGGGTCGGGGGATATATCGACGGGGATCGGCGGAGCGAGCGAGCGAATTGAGGTCTAGCTGGAACAGCTGGAGAGTACGGTACACAGAAGTGCGGTTACATGTTGAGGCTATATTTCGGGCGCAAAATGCCTTACACTTGGACACGGATATGGAAGCACAAGCCATAATGGAGTTGTTATAGAGGCTCCATGAATACACATGGAATATTAACTGATCTTAAAGACATTTGAAATGGTAAACAATGGCAGTTCAGAGCAGAGATGGGGGTGCTCCACTTGTTCGTGCACAGCTAGAATCTAAGCCCAAAATCCATACGATAAGTCTCAAATGAGTCTAATCTCTTAATGAAATGTTACAACGGAACGTACATATATCTGTGGCATGTATGTAATTCGATTGAAATGAATGAGGAAGGAACGCATTTAGTGTCTGCAATAAGTTGACTTCTGCGGCGAGTGATGAGTGTGATTCACGATGAGTCATAGGTATTTCGTATTCCTGGAACTAAAACTAACTTAACTAACAACCAAAACAAAAACTAGTTACGCTTCTCCTTCTTCAAATATCGCAATTTACTATTCAGTTAATATCTGTGTTAATATTTATACGATACGATAAACCGAGTTACGAGTTGGAGATATTTATATATCAAGATTGTGGCATTTCGTTCCATTTTAACTATCAAATAGTCCTAAGAACATGTTTAAAACTCCTTCAAAATAAATAACAAGAACAAAGTGAAGCCAAGCACAGCAGATAATAAAAAAGAAAACAAACTAAATACAATTTATATAAATATATAATAAAATACCTATTAAGTACAATAAAACAAAAAACAGTGAAGGGAAATATGTAATAGGCTTAAGCACATGTCCTTGTATTACACTATACACCATATACTATGTACGATTACACTGTCCTGTGTAGGCAGCTGCATTTGGATTTTAGACCTGTACAGCTGAACGAAAATATATCCACTTAGAGTTAAGTTCATATGTAGCTTTAGCAATTGAATAAGCCAAAGTGAAGAAGACATTTGGATTGATTGATCGTATGTGAAAGCGGGGAAAAAACGAAAACCCCATTGAGATAAACCCAGTACAGAGCCACTCGTTCAGCCGTCTTAGCATTAGCCATAGGGATAATATTACCTATATTATTATGATCTAAGATCCTTTCAAAACTGCGGTACAAACTAAGAAAGAAAAATGAAGAATTCCAACGCAAGTTGCGGGTATCTACGTACGAGTATCTATATTCGATTTTAGTGATATATAAAATGAAAAAGCAAACACACAAAAAGCCTTGACAGACATTTGACACTGCCAGGCAGAGATATCCATGCATCCATTGTACTTCTACTTCTATATTGAATTAGTTTAATTTGTTTTCCTTTTCTTTGTGTTGATGTTGATCAGATTTAAGTTTCTAGCAATTGCTGCCGTCCGCAATTTGTTGATTTGTTACAACTACTTCTTGAAATTCGATCATCCTTTATTGTTCCCCCTGCTTTTGAGTTACTATTGCATTTATTATGGATGTTTACTGGCTTTTAACCGCAATGTATCATACATACTGGCGGTGGTATGGGATACACAGAAGTCGCTACTGTGGCTCTCTCTCGGCATTTAAGAGAACTCTTGTCGGACAGGGGTTTCCATTTTAGTCTGTAAGAGCACTACCATCTGCATACTAAAGTAGTGAACAACACAAGAAAAGAAAACAACAACCACACACACACACGCATAATAATAATTACGGAGGCAGGAGGGCCACCGGGGCTATTCTGGGCAATTCGATTTCACTTTGAAATCGCCAATCCGTCTCCGAGTACATACTAGACATAAGATTTACCCTAAGATGGACTCTTGTGTAGAGAATAATTTGAATCAATTTCCATTCTCCATGATCTTAATTAACATCTCTCAAACTACGAGTATCCATGCAAATCTGACAAAATGAAATCAAAGCTTCGAATGGCCTCCCTCCTGTACACACACACACACACACCTTATAATATTCAAAAAGAATAACAATTACAATAAAAAAACCATGCAGGCCAAACAGAATGGATGGGCCTTCTTCTCATTTGGTTGCCAAAATTGCAACTTTTCGTAATAAATACTGGGGCAGCACAAGCATCTCTATTTTCAGCTATTTGGAATCAAACACAATCATAAGGCATCGTTTTTAAGTTGCATTTTAATGCGTAAATTAACATGAAAAGTAAGTAAGTAACTTAAACATTATTTGTTATTGAACAGATTCAACAATTGTGTACTTGTGTGCTTTTCACCGCCGAAATGAGCATTGACAACAATTAAATACATTGTTGAGTTGTGTAAATGATTAAACATAAAGAGTTTAGTGTGTGAAATATGGATATATAAATAACTGTTCGCTGCAATTGCTGAGATATCCTTGGTCTTGTGTGCCACTGGCATGGTTGATTGTTTTTTTGTGTTTTTTTCAATCTGAGGTAAAATTACTTTATGAAATACCACTGACTTTTTGTTTAACTTTATTTTACTTACTCTCTGATTTCGGGAATGCATTGTTGTCGAGTGGAATACAACTGGCAATTAGCTGCCAGTTCGTGTGGTTCCCGACCAACAGGCCAACAGGCCAAACAGGGCCTATAAAGGGTATATAAAGAAAAGAAAAATCAGCTGGGGAAAGTACAGTTGCTAGCAACCCTAACCGCAGTCAGGTACCATTACCCTTTGTATTGGTTTGGTTGCTCGTTTTTGTACTTACATGGCCAGAAGCGAAAGTAGAAATCCAACAGTTTGTATATGGGTTTCATTTTGAAGTAAATTCTTATAAGTGTAAGGGCAGGACGTGCCTCTGCCCGGTACGTGTCGAATGTAAATCAATCAATCAAATACAATCATATCATATCAATCATTGCTTGAGAATGGAAGGAACTTCGTTTGCTTTTCCGCATTACAAAAATGTCAGAGCACACTTACGAGTAAAAATATAATTGCCGAATATTTGTATTCATTTTGTTTTTGAATATTTGAAAAATGTAAAATATTAAATATTAAAATATTCTTTTGAAAAGAAGGAACTGAAGGTAACTCGCGAAAACCATTAAACACAATTAATTATTAACCAATTGAAAATTAATTTAAACTGTGTCCGAAAATATATATTTTTTTCAATTTTAAAGAAACGTTTTTTTGCCAGACAAGTATTTCTTTTCACTTAAATTTTTTTTTCTTTTTTCCGAAATTTTTATTTTTTTCTAAATACATTTTGACAAAGGAGTTGGGATTAACGAAAAAGCCGACCTTGTGGCAAAAAGGGCTACTACAGAAGGAGAAACAATTTACACCAAGTTTAGTATTAAAGAAGCTCTTCGGGAAACAAAGAACAAAATATTAAATATGTGGAATGAGGACTATAAGCTTCAATGTAGAACTAACTAACTAAATACACAAAAAACCGTGGCACTACAGTTGCAAATGGAAGGCCAAAAGTATTAAAATGATAAACAGACTAATGACAAACCCTTTTTGTTCAAGATCAAAGCTGCAGACTCGGATAGTTGTGATCTATGCAAAGTTATAGAAAATGCTGAACACTTGATTTTTAAATGCCAACGGTTCACAAACCACAGGGGTAAGTTTCATATTTTTAAATACCAGAATAATCTAATAGATATACTTACGCGAAAAGAGCTATTACACCTTATAGAACTGGCCATTTTCATGAGCAAAGCAAATTTCGACTTTTAAATTTTGGAAAAATTCTATCACTTTATAGAGTAATTTATTGATAAACACCGATCTTACTTTTTTTTATGATCCATGATTTTATTATTATGCACCCAACCAATTTCGTTGTAGCGATTAAATTTAAAAAAAAAAAAAAAATTTTGATTTTTTCCGACTATAGAAAAGTAGATGTGTTCTCTACTGCTATCGGAAGTGTACTGAATATTCTCGGAACAAAATCTAGGCTCCTCAAAACAGGCAAGGGCCGGACGATTTCATGGCCTGCTGGTTTCGGTGAAATTTTCTATAAATTTTAGTTTTATTCAAAATTTGTTTGATTTCATTCAAGAGATCTCATTATTGGTGCTTTTCTACATTTTTTGAAGATATATCCATCGAAATTCCCATAAGACATGCTTAAGCAAGTGCAAATTTACCCATTCGAAGCTCAGAGTACAGTATGTATGGGCATATGCGCCCTATTTGTGTTGTGCAAGACCCATTGACTCCTCTCTCGACTTGTATTTGGACTGAGACTTTGACTGGGACTCGCAACTACTCAGGTACAGCATTCCCCGACGTTTTCGAGCCCTATGAGGGCAGCAAGAAATAAGGTGAAAGGGGCCGCAAGCAATATTTTATCATCTTTATCATCATCTTTATCAAATACTCGTTTATGCTGCTAGCTAGGAACACAACCATATCCTAATATCTTTATCTAACAAACCAATTTAAGGGACGAGTGTTGAAGACAATTGAAGTGCTGCCACCTATGGGACAAGTAAAAGGGAATTATGCAAGGTGTCTCCTCCATCCATGGGAAAAGAGGTCGTCCTGTCCGCGTAGTGTAGTTCCTGATGGAGTCCTTATATCGCTAATATTGAAATATGTATGTATTTAAATAAATGATTTTATTATGTGCATTTTAGGTGCAGCTTCCATGAGTAAAAAGGGCTATAATTTTCTGTCGTTTCTTCAATAAATTCAAATAAATTCGAGTGAAAGTTAAAGGTTGGCTCTATTGTGTGGTATCTGTTTCCACTCAATTCAATATTGCAGCTTCTGTCAAAGTTCTGCAGCAGCTGCCAGCTGCTTTCTGGGTTGTAAATGTTTATTTGCCAGACTTTCTATTTAATATTTCTGTAAGTTTTTTACTTGTAATAAGCATTGGGATGCAATTTTCAACGCGTCGTTACTACTCAACTGGTTCAAGCTGCTCCGCTCCCCATCTGTGGAGTCGAATCACTAATCGAACAGCCACGATCAAGGCACTGGCTAGCCCGACCACTGGTTAAAGTTGTAGTTCTCGTTGACGGCACAGAGATTGGGATATGTGGGATTCCTGCCCGAGTTGCACTCGGAGGCTGGTGCACCAGCACGGTAGACGGGATTGTTGAGGACATTCGTCACGGCATAGTCGCAGGCCAGCAGCGTGGCCTGCACATTGTTGGCGTCCGTGAATCGGGCGATGGCACAGCCCACGCGGCTGTTGCGCTCATTCACCATCGTCGTGAAGTGCCCAATGGCGCTGTTAATGGAGGATTAAGAGAGAAAGAAAAGCAAAGGGTAAAACGGTACGCACGGTCCTCCACGCATTTGATAGTTCTCCATGTCGCCGCTGGTTGCATAACGGTTCTCATCGAACCACCCAGCAATGCGCTGGCGCAGAAAGTCGGCCACATCCCCGCTGCGTGTGAAGAGAATGCTGAGGTTCTGTCCCGCGTAGCGGTAGGTGTTCGTGTTTCGACACTCGTCGTGGGCCATGCGGCACTGCAGGGCATTGTAGGCGGCCAGCTGGGCCAGGGTTGGGTCCCAGCTCATGGTGGCCATGTGGACAGCGCTGGGGAAGCCGCTCAGTCCCCCGCCGGCGATCTGGTTGCGGCGCTCATTGTGCAGCTGCAGGATAAGCGGAATGTGGGGGTCTATGGGCACGAACTCGCCACTGCAGCCGCTGACAAAGCGCTGAACCCCCGGCCCGATCGAGTTCGGTTATCAGTAGAGCACATTTAGGGTATCAAAATGGGTCTGGACCCATGGGCATGGGCACACTAACTTACGCCGCTGTTCTGGCAGGCCACATGTCTGCCGCTGGGGCATAGTTCCGGGTCACAGTAGTTCTGGCCAGCTGCAAGAGGGTACAGGACGGCCAGCAGGAAGGCCGGAAACAGCCGGGCACACGATTGACGGTGTCTCATCACTGGCATTCGGGCATTCATAGATGAATGGCGAGCCCCATATATTACTCGGTATTTATAGGCAATCCCTTCCCCAATAAGTGGGTGAATGTTCTATATATGTTGTATATATATACGCTTAGCGTAAACAACAAAGTGGATCAGTGAATCATCGTTAAGAGCCGAGTTGGGTTGGCTTCAACATTTTAGGGTGGCCCCAAATAGCAATTGACTTTTTCAGTTTCTGTTGTCTTCTGTTGTACATTTCGACTTATATTTTATACGAAATTATCTTTAGTTGAAGTTTTTCAGATTGAGCCTTGTTGTGTTCCTCCAAGCTCCATTCTATTCACCATGAAATAACACACTCCTCCAGCATATAGACAAAATTTGAGTTTTTAACGGATTTCATTATGTAAACTAACACAAAACAGTGTACCCAGAGAGCATGCACTTTGCCCACCCTGGTCATACTGGGCACAGAGCGAAATATATATAAAATATTAATAGCTTCTGAGTACTGGGCTTTAACATGTTAAATTATGTACATTGTTTTCACCAAGCTACTCTGCTGTAGGGTAGTAAGTGCGCCGGACCTTGGGCGAACTGTTGAATTAAAATTTGGTGTATGTACGGTATATTTTGCACATTAGAAGATATATTTTGGTATATTTTTGAGCGTCCTTCGGTTTATTTTATTGATAAATCCACGGTCACACTGCGAACAACAGCGGCTACGATAAACACAACAGAATTGTTTCATTTACTAGATTCCAAATACATCTTAATAATGGCAGCAGCAACAGTACCTGGACGTGCCCTTCACTATGTATTCAAGATCGGAGACCGAGCCAAGAACGCCCACTTCTTCCGCCAGGTCCTGGGAATGAAGGTGGGTACCGCTTCTTCTGATTTGATTTGAAAATAAAAGTGTTTGTTGGAAGCTACATCTGTGTGTACGTTATCGCTTCGGGATGCGATACGAGTGCGGTTTTTTTTTTATCTGAACAACGCAATTGGTAATTAGTGGTTGCTGACTGACTAATTAACAACCCAGATGCCAGATAACCGTAATGACTCTGTAATTTTGCACTAGCCACTAACAAATATTGCTGTTTCCATCTCTGTCTGTGTGTGGATTGGTGAAACAGGTTTTGCGTCATGAGGAGTTCAAAGAAGGTTGCGATGCCGAGTGCAATGGGTAAGTTCCTGGTGAGAGGCAGCTAGAATCAGAGAAAAACTAGTCCCCTAATCCCTTGCAGACCCTATGAAAATCGCTGGAGCAAGACCATGGTCGGCTACGGCCCGGAGAGTACACATTTTGTCATCGAGCTGACATACAACTACGGCGTGACCAGCTACGAGATGGGTAAGCAATCAGCAAAAGTTGCCGTCGTGTTGCCAGCAATCTGTAATCGTCAATCTTCCCACAGGCAACGATTTCGGCGGCGTCACCATCCACTCCACCGAGATATTGTCGCGCGCCGCTCAGCACTCGTATCCGATTGAGAAGGCGGATGGGAATGGCAGTGTGCTCACCTCGCCCGACGGCTACAAGTTCTATGTGATCGACCAGGCCCCGTCGTCGGCCAACGCCGATCCTTTGAAGTCGGTGGAACTGCATGTGAGCAATCTGGCGGCCTCGCGCAAGTACTGGCAGCAGCTGCTCCAGATGAAAATTCTGGCAGAGACCAAGCAGACCCTGTTGCTGACCTATGGCGGCAATCAGGCTTCGCTTCAGCTCACCCAGATCACGGATGCCCTCAATCGGGCCAAGGCCTATGGACGGATTGCCTTCGCAGTGCCCTCGGCCAACCAACCGTCGCTGCACGAAGCAGTGAAGGCAGCCGGCGGCACTATTCTGAAGCCGCTTATCGCACTGGATACGCCCGGCAAGGCCACCGTCTCAGTGCTAATTCTGGCCGATCCCGATGGTCATGAGATCTGCTTTGTGGATGAGGAAGGTTTCAGCCAGCTCTCCCAGGTGGAGCCCGATGGCGAGCAGCGGCTGGACAAGTACATTGCCAAGGATCCCTTCCAGCTAAAGTGATGCCTGCTGCTCTCTGACATTTGCAGCATCTGTACATAAGATACGATTTTTTTTTCGGACCTAATTGCGGATAAAAAAGTTAATATTTTCTCTGCACTTTTTTTTTTTTTGGCGATGGTTGAAGTTTTTCTGAAACTCAAGGCATGAAAACTAACAATAAATAGTAATAGAAAAGACAAAATATTGATCGGAAATAGCATTAGCATAGATACAAGTATAAGAAGGGCAAGGGAAATGCTTCCTTTGCATTCACGTTTGGCGTCTCTTAGTATGCTCAATATCCACCTCGTCCAGTTGGAATCCATGGCATCCAACGGCCCATGGTGTCGCCTGTCCATTCACGCACTGTACAATGAGCAATAAGTTTCCATTGCTTCCGATCAACTCTTGCTGCGCCTGCACCGACTTTTCATTCATTTTCATTCAAGCTCTTTACGTTAAACAAAATCGTTTCTTTTATTTAACCTTTTAGGTTTTTATTGTTTTTTTTTATATTTTCCTTAGTTGCTTTTTACTTTTCTGACCATTGCAATGCAAAATCCGAAGACAGTCAAAATGGAACCAGCATTGGTGGCTCCCCCGGGTAAGCTTTTGCCACATCAGAAGCCCTGGGAGACGTTCGACTGGCCGGAGGAGCAGCGACGTAACATCCACCGGAGCTGGGGCAGTGTCTTTGCCAATGCCCGGATGGATACATCGGCGCAGAAGTATTTCGACAAGTGCATCGATGAACATCATGGGCAGGATTTCAGGACGCTGCATCTGAGGAGCAAGTTCAATCGGTCGGTGGCACGGGCGGAGTCAGCACTGCTAGACAGCACAAGGGCGGCTCAGGTGCTGGGGCCGGACGATGTGCACACTCAACTGGCGATGGCGGATGCGCTGTACGACCTCAATCGCTTCGAGTCGAACAAGTTGTTGCTGAACGACAATGTGCGCCGACATGTGGGCACCTCCATGGAGCCGTTCGACAAGCGCTTGATGGTGGTTAACGAGAACTTCAAGGACAGCCTGGGCGATGGCCTGGCCAGCTTCTTCATGAATAAATCGAGCAGCCTCAAAGCGTTCTATGAGCAGAAGTCGGTTGGTGGGGAGCTGGTGCCAAAGGACAGGCGCCCGCACTGGAAGATCATCAGGGAGCAGCAGCAATGCGATGTCCAGAGCGTTCAGGAGGAGGAAACGGAAATACTCTCGCCCCTGGAAAAGGCCCGACGGCGTCGCAAAACCAAGATATTTTATCAGAACTATCTGCACGGCTCCTGGAAGGACTTCCTCTTCCTTAAGACACTACGCCAGAATCCCAATTTACTGCTCGATCAGTACTTTGTCTCATCGCCGGAGCGGAAACAGTATCTGGAGAACTCTTTCCAGCGCATAAAGACCTTCGCACGGATGCTGCACGCCCGCAGTCCCCTGTACAATGAAGTATCGCAGGGGAATCGCAATTTCAAGATGTCGCAACGCTTCCGCGAGGAGAGCCTATTCCGCATCCAGTACCAGACACGCCGGAACATGCTCAGCATTCTGCGCACGATACGTTCCCTGAGGCAGCACGATGATCTGGCGGTAAGTGAGAGATCCACGCGCTGCCCAATCCAGCTTCATTCTCTGCCTTTTGTCTCAGCGTCTGCGTAAATTCGTGGAAGATGTGATGGGCAACTATGTGAGCGTCAAAACGAGTCGCATAATGCCCTGGAAGACGGAATTCACGAACGAGGTGTACAACCATTTGGCCCTGAGCCTGAGCGAGGGCTACCGCCTGCCGCCCACACGTGTCACGCCATACAACAAGAATGCCATGTGCATGATGCTGAATGTACCCGCGATCAAGCCGCTTGAGCGAGCAGTCTATGTGTTCGGGGATCGACCATCGTACGGGTATCCAATGCATGACAGACAGAAATCGTAAGCACAGCACAGGGCGATGTGATGTCATTATAAAGATGTTTCATCTCTTTTTTTGTAGAGAAGCCTTAAAGCACCTGGAGCAGCGTCTGTTCTTTGCCAAGCTGCCGATCGAGCGCGCTTATTTGCTGCATGAGATAGCCGATCATCATGTGCAGCATAATCACTTTGTGCAGTGCCTGTCGTATGGCCAGCAGGCCATCGAGGAGGCCAAGCGCTGCAACAGCAAGATCTGGCAGTTCCTCAGCACGATGCTGCTGGCCAAGGCGCATGCCGTACTCCACAAGCATGAGCGGCAAACGGAGGTGCTTAATGCCGCCTATCAGCTTGCCGCAGATCTGAAGAATCCGCGGCTCTGCACCTTCATCGAGCTGTGTCGCATGCTCAACAAGGACTACATCACCCTGCGCAAGATGTCCCAACTGGGGGCCAGCAAACGCCTGCGCTCCAAGCAGGAAAATCGCTCGAGTACCATCAGTACCATCACGCCACAGATCTCGTTCACCAATCTGTCGCTGCTCCAACCCCGCACCGAGCACAAAACGAAGGCCTGGGGGGGCTACAATAAAAATTCGGACTGGCTCTGATGAACCAGGGGCTCAAAGGCCAAGAACTGTCCTGAACTGTTCAGTGCCTGGCATTTGACCCCTTGGCATCAGACCGGCGACACTGACCCTCAAGCCTCAGAAGATTTCAATTGCGAAACATCTGCTATAGCTGCCATAACAAAAGCCAAATTGTTTTATTTATAATCAACATAACAAATACGTAAAATGCTAAAAAATCTTATAAATATACAACAGACATTGTAATATATACAGATAATTAAATTGTAATTATTTTGGTTATAAATACATAAGAATAGATAATATATCGGTAAGAGGCTTACTTACCCTTCGAATAACTAAAACAGACTACGACCCTTCAGACATTAAAACAAAACTTTTGCGCAGGCTTTCCTCCTTAAAATGTTGCAATAAATCCAAAAAATATTTTGCACTTAGCAAAGACCAAGAGCATTGGACGACCTCTACAGAAACTGTTAACTATTTTATTAGTTATGAAATTAAGAAACCCTGGAAATATGTTAGTAGTCTCAATAATAATCGATCACTGATTAAGTTTTACTGCATAAATTTACCTAAAAACTGAGAGTTGCACATCATTTTTATTTCCTTCTTTAATTTTCAGCAATATGCAGCTTTTAGCAGGGCAGGAACACAATATGCCAATGGAGAAACCAATCAATAAACCATAATCCCTCTTCAAGGCCAATATATGCAAGAGCAAATGACACCAAAACTGGGCTTGACTAAACTAAAACGTTATGGAAAAAAGTGTATTTATAAAATATGCCAACATAACTAAACAAAAAATTCAAATTTTGTTGTACAGTAATTATTTTTTTTGCTTCATCGAAAACTGAACAAAAATTAAAAATTGGAAGCGAAGCAAAAAATTGTTTTTCACACTTTTAAATTATTTATGATGAGCGGAAAATGCAATTGCACTTGACTTCAATTTAGCCAATAGCCTGCCGCCCATAGTTGGGTCTGAGCCCTGTGCACTGGGCTCTTTCCCCATACCGTCCTCCGTTCACCAGCAGTCGCCTGACCTCGCCCAACTTAAAACTACGATTTGCATATTTTGTTGTGGAAATTTGTTGTTTTCGTTGTCAGCATTGAATTGTCGCATTTTTGCCCCGAGGCTGGGGTTTTGTTACTGGGTCTGGGTGGCTCTGTGGCTGGGAAATGGGCCTGAAGGAAAAATTACATTTTATTTTGTCGCGACAAAAAAATAGCAAAAAGAACTGAAATGTTATGGAATTAATGGGACGAAGCTTCAAATACACTGAAGGGTACGTATCAGACCAAAGTACGAGTAAGTGAGCAAACTCTGAATATTTCAGCACAAAACTTTGAATATTTGTAACTCTATGAAATAGAGAACTGAAAGCTTGCAGAACTATTTGAAAATATGGACAACTTTTAAGCATTTGAAATCTACTATAAAGTTTTCAAAATATGTTGGAATTAATATTTTCTTATGGCAAAACTTAAGTCAGAACTGACTTAAGAGAGACATAAATGCAGAATTGAAAGTTGCTGGATGCTATCAATAGAATAAATTGGGAATACCCATAGTTAGTGTATGGGAAAACATTCAAAATATGCAAAAGAGCAAATGCGTCAATAAATGCAACGACAACAAATGTTTTATTGTGTCAATGCTGGCCCAGAAGAGCAGACGAGGGGTTGGTGGTGGCATTAAGTCCCAAGTGGCCAAAACAAATGCAGAGCCCGAGTCTAGCTACATTGTGGCACATGGCATACATACTATTTACTCGTGCCCCTGCCCGTGCCCGTGCCCGTGCCAGTGCCCATTCTCGTGGTCGTCGTACTCTTACTCCTATTTGCAGCTCATTATGCCAGTTGCCATTAAAAGTGAAAGAGAAACCCCACCCGGACCTATCATTCCCGCTGGTCCCCTGCACTGCGAGAAATAGTCAGAGGTATGCCGGCCTGCCTCTGCCCGTGCCCCTGCTCGGCCATATCGTGCCTCACCTTGCACTTCAATCAGACTTGGAGGCAATCAACAAGCTCACTCCTCCGGTTCCGAGGTTCGAGGCTTGAGGCTCCGTTTCTCCAGCAGTCGTAGAAGGAGCACCCGACAGAGAACCTTATTTGCCAAATTGAGGTCAGCACAAGAAGGTCGCGATAACAGCGCAAATAATTGGTAACGGCAGCAGCAGTGGGGCAGCAACGGGGCAACACAGCAACCAAAAAGGAAACCAAATTGCATTGAACGTTAGGGTTCCATTTTGGCCTGGTCTCGCTCCGGCTGGTGTTTGTTCTGGTTTCTGCTTTGGGCTGGGTTGGTTTGGTTTGGGTTTGGTTTGGGTTTGGGTTTGGGGCTTTGCTCTGGTTTTCTGGGCTGTTCTGGGTGGCATCGGGGGCTCGGGGCGGTGGGTCAACTGCAAGTCATTTCAAATTCAAACTAGCTTAAATACTTAGAGCCTTTGTTGGTTCTGTTCACATTCAGTTTGGAATGGCAGATGACTGACTCAGGGGAGAGGCGTGCGGTAGTTTCACTTGCCTGTGGAATGTGTGAAAAATTGTTTTGTTGTGTGTGTGTGTGTGTGTTTGAGCTTATAATTTCAAGCTGAATTCATGCCATCCT